GTTGACAATCTCTTAGCGTCGAAACTTCTCGAGAGCGAACGCCTGCCTCGCTTAACAGCTTCTTCCCGCTCCTGTTGCATCCTGGAAAGACTACCGGATGCTACGTCGTTTCCTTGCTCCCGATAATCCCTTTGAACGCTTCTGCTCCTCTTCCCTTGCTCCCTGTACTCGTCGCTGTCCCTTGACCACCTTTTGTTCGCATCCTTTGCCCAATCCCTGGTCAAGATCTCCGGGGCCTCGGCCTCGGTTGGCTCGCGGCTGATGAACGATCTCCTTCGGCCGATCGACGCCTTCAGAATCGGCATGCGCACCTGTTCCTCGTCCTCCACGTTCTCGTTATCTCTGTACCTTGTACTCCCACCGTCAACTATGTCTCGTTGCCAGTCCCAACCGGTCGACGCCACCTCGTCTTCCTCGAACGCTTTTCTCTCCCGCGTCTTCGCCTCCTCAATCCGCCTCGCGACTTTCTCGAGCTTCACCGTCCTCGTCGATCCTTCCTCGCTCGGCACGGTTACTTTCAGGATGTCCGTGCTCTCCATCAACACGTTTTTGATCTCTTGCATCGGAAGATCGAACAGCAAGGTGAGAACGATCGATATCGATATCGTTGCACCTGCCTCTAATGGATCTAACTGTTATAAAAAATGTGATAATCGAAATTGAATTTGGTTGAATATTTGGTTTTTTTTTTTTTTTGTTTAAAAGTACGTACGAATCTATAGAAATGGAATTCGTTGGAGTATCTGGCGGTTCCAACGTTGTAGAAAAATACTATGAATTGAGTCAAGTATACGGCGTACGATATCCTACTGAAGATTATTAACCAGTGATGTGAAAGGAATCGGTTTATTATACCTGTAGAGAATTAAAAATTAAAATCTAAAGATTCTAAATTTTTAAAGTAATATATTTCTGTTTGATTGAGAATAAAGATAAAGGTGTGATACACGTAATGCGATTCGATGTATTTTTATAATCGAAGTTATAAAAAGGGGGCAAACCTCCGTGATTCGTGTAGCACGCAAACACGATCCAAGACAAAGCCAAAGCTGACACAACTGGACTGATCACGATGTAATTAGTTGCTTCTACAACATCGTAAACGTAGTCCCTTCTGGCCAACTGCCAGGGTGATCCTAACGACCACGATGCCAAGGCCATTGCGATCAACCATCCCAAGATCACTAACACCTGAAATTAGTGCATCAAGTTTGGTCATGATCTGATCATGATCTTGGAATTATGAAATGAAAACTCACGACAATATAAACTGTATACGAGAAAAATCAAATTTGAAAAACGTTCAAAAGTAAAATTTATTTGAGTAATATCCAAATTGAATAATATTCTATAAAAATAATGATTTCGTATACCTTGGGTATCCTTACTTCTGGTCCAGTGTAACGTAATAGAACACCAAGCGTTACACCGAACAGATATGGCGTGATTCTGTATATAGGTACTATATAAATTAAATTGACAGTCTTATAAATGTGTTTCAATCTAAAATAAAAGAATTAATATTCAACGTGACGAAAGATGCGAAGTGTGAATTAAAAAGAATTGAAGAATATTATATATACTTACGACATTCCGTGGAAAACAACGATAGAAAGATAGTTACTCATCGTTGTTATGTAACGGAGTGTGGCTGATAATAAAATGAAGAAAAATATTACGAGAATCCCAATGATAGGTTTGCATTGCAAGAAGAATACCAACATGGGTGCTAATAACGATAATTGCACGTCCAAAGCCAAATGATGGGTGTGAGTTGCGCACTATCAATGAAGAAAAAAAATATTTAATTGTATAATAATGTACGATTAAAATGATATAAATTATTGACAATTTTTCTTTAATTATTTTAAATAATTTGTGATAATTAAAAAGGAATTAGAATTACCTCTTCTTCGAAAGGTAAGAAATTTTGTATGTACAACAAATTCATCCACGCGCTGCTTTTGCAAAGATCTGCATTTCCTAATATAATGTCGTTCCATTGTGGTCCCGATCCGGTATGCTCCATTATAAATGCATACCAAAACACCACTACGAGTAACATTGGGGTAAGTCTGAACAACAAGTAACAAATAAAAAAATCAATATTTTTCCAAAAAAAAAAACTTGTACAAGCAATAAGTTCCCTATAAATAAAAATAAAAAATACTATTACGAATTTAGTTTCAAAATTGAATATATTTTACTTTTATATTACATTTTTAAAAAGCAGAAAAAAAATATTGATTTTTTATCAATAATTTAATTGAACAAAAATTCAGTTTACACAGTTTAGTTTTTTCTACTATTTTTCGTTGTATATCGTATTTGAAATCATTCTCATCCTTTATTCAAGAGATTATTAAACAAAATGGCTATCTAAAAACTCGTTTAATAATAAAACTGTCGATTAATCGATAATCAACTTACCTGATATATCTGGCAATAAAACGGCAAAACCAGCGAATCTCACCTCGTGTTATAAACTCGTGTGCCATGTTGAAAGACGTTAAGGTACCGCTAAGTAATAAAAACGTGTCCGTGTAAAGAAGTCCACCCCTTAGAATGGTAGTTAAAGGATTGTTCGTCACCTATTTCAACATCGATATGATTTACGAAAAATCAAACAGGTAAACGAAAGATAAAGATCGATTAAATTAACGATATTTTTTTTTTATAGTTACCTCGGTGAACTCGATTCGATTAGAAAATGGTAACATCGAGATTGTTATGACTTGATGGGAAATGTAAAGCATAATCGTGATGAGCGATCTGATCCCGTGAATACACGGGATCCCACCTTTGCCCGATTCCTTCTTCAATAAAGATCTGACGGTTCTCCGTAAGGAAAAAGACATTATTATTCTCTCCGAATAATTTCCTACGATAAACCATAAAAAAAAAAATCAATTGTAACATCTCGTTTCAAACATTCTGTATTAACTTTCTTTTTTTTTTGAAATGCGTTCAAGCAAAGCTAAATCCTTTGTAAGCGCATTAACTTACAGAAAATATAGATAGTAATGAGAATCTACCTTTTCCTTCCGATACCACCAAATAATCTCTCACGGTTGCTACAATGGCGAGACAAACGACCATCGCGTAGAAATATCTGTAAAAAAACGAAAAAGAAAAAAAAATTCGTACCATTTCTTCGATGTATTCTTCGATTAACAATCTTTTCTTTTTTTTTTTTTTTTTTTTTTTT